GTTGTTGTTGTTGACGTTCCGGCCGTCGGGCCCGGTGGGCCCACATGGGGGGTCCGGGAAGGCCTCAGCCCCCCTCGGGGGCGACACTTGCGACGTCCGCGCAGGGAGGGCAGCATGCCCCCAGACGGGTTCCGGAAGGCTCAGACGATGGGTAGGGCCGGGAAAGCCAGCACCCCGCCAGAGTGTCTAGCGCCGTGGGCGCTCTATAGTCGGCCCAGACGCCGCATGAACTCGATGACCCGGCACGGGTCAGCAAAGACCTCCCGCAGCGTTGAGTCCTCTCTCCCAAAAACGTCGTGTCGGACGCGGGCCGTCGCGGGGCACGACGTCAGGAAATATTCCGCGTCCTCCCTGTCTCCGCCGCCGCAGGTCGGGCATCCATCGTCCTCCTCCACCCCGATGAAGTGACGGTACGCTTGCAGGGCAGGAGAGTGGCCGGTCCGGAAGCGCACCAGAGCGGTGCCCTCTCTCCTGGATAGGCCGAGCCTGTCTGCCAGCCTGACCCTGTCCGGGCCGACGGCACCGTGGTAGTCGTGGCTTAGGTGCGGGCGGGTCGCGGGCGTAGGTCGGGAGTGGCGCGTGCTCTCCACCCACTCTCTGCTTACGTGGCGCTTCAGCAGGCTCTTGGCTGCCGCGAAGGTGATGGGTATCCCGTCCTGAGGCAGCTCAGCGGCCTCCCTAGCCACGGCATCGGCGATCTCGTTGCCGGCGACTCCCGCGTGACCGGGAACCCACTGAAGGTCCACGCGGTGGCGTCGTCCTAGTCGCCGGAGGGATAGCCAGACTTGGTCAGCGACCCGTTCAGTCTGGCTGGCCGGGCCCTCCCTCAGACGCATGAGGGATGATAGGGAGTCGGTGCACAGCTGGATACAGAGTGCAGGGTCTTGATCGGCGAGGATAGACTCGATGTATTTGAGTGTCTCCCGGATTCGGCAGTCCGGCTAGTGTCTCCTCGGCGGCAGTCCGTCGCTGTTCGGCGGGGGCGTTGTGTGGCACCGGCCTCACGAGTCCAGTATGGAAGAAAATCGTTGGTGGTGGTGGTGACTCCCAGGGAGGGGTGCTGGCAACCACCAGGAGTGGTTCACGTGGGAGATCGTCTAGGCCGGCGTCTTTGGATAGCTCTTGGCCCGTCCGTGCCCATCCTCTGTCATAGCGCAGACGTTGCCGGGGCCGGTTCTCAGGGAGGAGGATCCGCTGTACAGGGTCGTCTGGTAGGTCCCGGGAGTGGCGCTCCACCGCCACAGCCGCCAACTGCCTCCGCCGCGCCGAGAAAGGCAGGAGATCCGCCTCTCTGGCCAGGGCGTCCACTGGTGTGGATCTGACACAGCCGGTGATTGTCCTGTCCTACACGGCTGTCTCTGCACCGTTTCCAGCTCCCTCAGGCCAGACTCGTTGAGGCCGGGCATCCAAGCACCGGCGGCGTAGTCGGCGCAGGCACGGGAGAAGGCGAGATAGGTGCTGCGCAGATCGGACGGTGAGCAGCCCCACGTCGTGCCGCTGATAGCCCGAAGACGTTGTTCCTTTGGAGCATCTTGGCCTTGATCGTCTTCACATGTCCCATGAAGGTGAGGCTCCTATCGAGGGTGATGCCCAGGAACGTCGTGGTGGGGGAGGAGAACTTCACTGGGTGGCCCTGGAAATGGAGTGCCGCTTCTCGCCGTGCCTCAGCTGGGTCGAGGGTGAAGATAGTGGAGGTAGTCTTCTCCAGGCTGACCACTATTTTCCAACGCCGGGCCCACTCCCCCAGGTTGTCCAGGGCACGCTGCACCTTGGTCTCGGCGGCAGAGACGTCACGGTCGCTGCACCAGATGGCTAGGTCGTCGGCGTACAGCGATGCCGACACGCCCGGTGGGAAGTCGTCGGTGATGTCGTTAATAAAGATGTTGAAGAGCGCCGGGGATGTCACCGCGCCCTGGGGAGTGCCGTCGCGGAGGACCCGGAACTTGCTCCTTGTGTTATTGATTCTCACGCATGCTTGACGGTCCCGAAGGAAAGCCCGGAACCATGCTATGTAGCATAGCAACGGGGGAGCCCGAGGCGGGACATCTTCCAGAGGAGGCCCGTGCGCCATGCCTTGTCATAGGTTGTGGAGAAGTCCACCGTCACCAGCAGGGTCCGCTTCCTTTCTTCAAGGCCATCCGCCGTCGCCTGTACCAGCCTCGGGATCTGGTCCTCCGTCGACCTGTGTTTCCGGAAACCGGCCTGGTTGGGGTTCAGGAGTTGGCGTTGTTCGAGCAGATACATCAGGCGGCGGTTGATGAGGCGTTCCAGCAGCTTCGACGTCGAGCTCAGCAGACTGATGGGACGGTAGGACTTGACCTGGTCGGGTGGTTTCAGGTTTGCCTTTTTCAGGATCGGGACGATTTCTGCCTTGGTCCAGATGGAGGGCAGCTCGCCCCTCATCCAGGAGAAGTTGAGGAGTTGTAGGAGCCTGGAACGACCTCTTGTCCCCAGTCGGACCAGCATCTCGTTGGCGATGCGGTCCAGTCCGCCGGCCTTCCTCGCGGAGAGCCGGCTCAGTTCCTCCGTCAGTTCCGCCTCGGAGAACGGGGAGCAACATCCCCGTCTACTGTGGCCACACTGGGTGCAGGGCGTGCGGAGGAAGTCCGTCAGGTCGTGGGTCACTCGCCGGTCCTCCCGGACTCGTGGCGGTAGGTGGCTGACGGCGCTGTACACGCGCATGAAAGCGTCCGCCTTCTCGCTGTCCTTGGAGGTCCGGCGGTTCCCCACCCGGAGTGTGGCGTCAAACCTCCTCGTAGTGGCGGAGCGGCCGTCTATGGCTCGGATGGTGGACCACACCTGGCCCACATCGGAGCGGAACGACAGCCCGGACGCGAACGTCCGCCAGGACTCCTGCCGCGCTTTGGTGATGGCAAGGCTCGCCTCCTTGGCCGCTTCTCTCCAGGCCGCACCGGCTGCCGGGTCTGCCTTGGCCTGGGCTCGGAGCTCGTCCCGTCTCCTGACGGCCTCGTCCACCTCCTCGGTCCACCACGGCACAGGGTCACGCCTGGCGCCACAGGGGATAGCCCTGGCCGCCGCAGTGATGACTAGGTCATTGAACTGGTAGGTTGCAGCCTTTACGGGTGTGTGTTTGTCCCACTCAGGGGAGGCCGCCAGTTTCTCTTCAATGATCTTCTCGAACAGGGCCCAGTCCGCTTTCTTGAAGGACGGCTTGGTCTTTCGCTTCTCCTCTCTCTTCCGTTTACCCACCCGTACTCTGACCAGTATCGGGAAGTGGTCCGACGGTAGTGCTGTAAGGGTTTCCCACTCCACCCGATTAGTGAGCGACGAGTGGTGCAGCGTGATGTCCGGCGTTGAGAGGGCGTACGGGGGGGGGGGGGGGCGGGCTCTGTCGGGTCGGGGCTCCGGAGTTGGCGACCACGAAGTCCCGCTGGGAGATCCGCTCCTGGACTTGCTCCCCGATGGCGTCCTCCTCCACGAGTGGATCCCAGGCCGCACTGTGGCCGTTCACGTCCCCGAAGATCATGGCGTTGGTGTCGTGAGGCCACTGGTCCGGTGTAAAGTGTTGAGTCCGGGTGTCCGACGTGGAGCTTGCGCGCATCGGCGGTACGTACACGTTCAGGGTCTTGAGGCGCAGGGGGCACTGCAGCTCGACCAGCAGAGCGTCCGTGGTTTCATCTTCGGGGGCCATACACCTTGTGTCCAGGACAGTGAAGGGGGTGCCCTCCCTGATGAGCGTCGCCACGCCTCCTCCATAGGTCGTCTCCGCTCGTCGGCCTCTTGTCCGATCCCTGCGTAAGACATGGTAACCGTGTATTTTGAGGGTGTCCTTGGATGTTAGCTTCGTCTCCTGTAGGAACATCGCAGTCGGCTTCAAATAATGAAGGGCTTTCTCCAACTCGGTCTTCTTAGATTTCTCGAGGTCGCTGGAAGTTTCGTTGCAATATGCTCCTTTTTGCGCGTCTTATTGGGAAAGCCCGAGAGGGGTCCGCCATCTGACCCCATTTCCCATACCTATCCCCTATGCAGGCAAGTCCGAGGGTAGTCAGGGCGAGGGTAGTCAGGCTAGCTAGGTACAGCTCTCGCGAGATTATGCGGCAGGTTTTGCACATTTATATTTCCGGTTATATCTCAGAAACTAATCGATCTACGATGAAGCCATTTTACACGATAATGGCCGGCTTGTGAACCAACAAGTCGATTGCATCTTGAACACTTAAAAGCTTAAGACGACGAAGATATTGCCTGAAGTACACTAAATTTTATAGGTGCAAAACCTACCGCTAAAACCCGCGAGACCTGTACCTCGTAGTTACTGATACGTCATCCGACGAATCGACGGCGACCATTATTTTGACAATCAGACGAACGCTTGGATCAGTTTTGGCGCGCTCACTCATTTGAGGGATAAAAAGGGACTAGAATAGTGGCTACTCTAGAATGTTGTCATGCTGATGTTCCACGCCCACAGCTTATTGACATATAAGCAATAGGGACTATGGAGCTCTTGAAGCGATTCTGAATCTGACGTTGTATTTGTTGATGTTGCTGACGCCAACTTCACTGACATGATAGCTCAAAAAAGCATACTCAGCACCGCCAAAAGTGGGGGGTCGACCCCCCCGGTTCTGACGAATGGGGGGTCGCGACCACCGCGACCCCCGTCGGCGACGCCCCTGTCTACATCTTTTTGTGTTGGACGTGTTTATGTACCTTCAGGCTGTAGACGTGCCAGATCCTTCCACAAAACCCTATTTTCGAGAACGGCAGAACATGACGCTACTTCATGTCATTTGTGACCATCCTTTCATTGCGCACCATAATTTTTCGCCCACAAGGTATACAATTGATGCTTGTAGGAATTCTAAAAGTTTGGTTGGTGACGATATCTGCATCGCTTTAGGAGCTATCGACGGAAAAAGAGAGGAAGGGCCGTTTTGACCCCCCCCCCCCCTCACACACACACACTCCCGAACGGGCTCGCGGCAGACGACTTGTAGCTGAACTGCTCAGGAGGAGTTAAGTTGATGAATGCTCACCTTCCCGGGGCAGAATGAGGGGCGGCTGTGTCACCATCGGCGGGTAGGGCTGCGGAAACGCGGCTGCAACAAACGCAACACCAACAACGCTCAGACACAGCCATAAATACGTCAAAGCGGGACATTATGATCAGGATATCTTTTATAGCAGTGCACACTGCATTATTTCTGCATCGAGGTGTGACCGAAAAGAAACAAGACTATACGTGCTGGCAGTGGCGGCGGAACACCATCAATAAAGGAGGGGGGGGGGGGGGGGAATGCCGACTTTTGGTCCCATTCTTTCCATGCAACGCCCATTCTTTCCGGCTACTGTTAAAATGCCAAAATCAAAGGGGGCACGATGCCCCCCCCCCCGTTTCGCCGCCTATGCCTGCTGGGGACATTCATCTACCGACCGATTACCTATATTATAGTGATGCGGAACATGTCAGCACCATATGAGCGAAGTTTCGCTTTCGCTGGCTCATTGTCTCTCTTTGCACAGGTGCGTCTCTAACCCCCTGCAGTGCACCGTGTCACAGTACATAAGTATGAGCTTTGAACAACATCAAGTACTTATTTGTCCTGGGGAAAACTGCTACAGAAACACTTTCAATGCCAAATGAGGTGCATGCAGGCGTAGCAGGTGAGGACCAGGTGGGTGACGGCACGTGATCGCCTGAGGCGGTGGGAGGTAGAAATATTTTCGTCATTTAATGCTCAATGCAATCGCTGCGACTTTTTACAAGACCTTCTCCTCGTCGTTGTTTCTTGCACTTTCAACGACTGGTCCCCGAGTGATGACTATCCTCACGCAAGATAGGATGAATAGAGCTAGCAATTAAGCCCAAAAAATATATCGAAAATGTTACAAAACACTTCTTTTGAAGGAGATGAATTGAATGGTTTTGGGTCACCAGAATGCGAGTCCGAAGTCCGAACAACAGCCGCCGGCTGGAGCCCGTGGTCGGAGAGCTGACCGCCTCCCGAGCGGGCCGGAGCTCACCGACGGCCGAGTAGGGCATAGCTGGGTAGGCGGCGGCTGTCGGCTGCAACGGCGCATCGCCTCCCATCGTGGCTGGTGATGACAGCACTGCAATGACAGAGAACCGTGATAGCACTGCGGCGACACACCGGTAACAACCTACAATGACAGAGAACCGTGACACCAGTATATCGCCTTTTGGGGCGACTAACGGAGCGAGCGAGAGGGTGGGCCTTGTAGGGGAAGGTGGGGTAAGACGGCCTAGCGGGGCAAGACGGACCACCAGCCCTCCCGGCTGAACCACTGCTGGTATCTACTGCTTTATGCACTCACTATGTTTGTTTTCCTTCGTAACAATGGCCACCTTGAGCTCATGCTGCTAGGATGCATAGCTTTTGAGTTATTGAGAAAAATGTTGTTTTTCGTCAAACCGATCTAATGTAAGAGGTCTACGGGTGATTCAATTACGGCGCCTTTCTTGCATGATTAGTTTCTATTTTGCACTTTACTGTGAAGAACAAAGTTATAAACATAGTTATAGTCACACTTTAGGAAAGGCAAGGTTTTGCAATGTTGGGCTATTTGACATATACGTCATGATAATGACAGAATTTAGATTTGGGGCAAGACGGACCACTGTGATCCATCTTACCCTGTGGTGGTCCATTGTACCCTGCATAAGGATTTTTTTCCAAAACATTGACACAAATTTAAGTAAGCTAATTTTTCAGGAAGGAGTCTTTGTTGCATGTGAGCCATGCATGAAAGTGCTCAGTTAGCATGCATTCATGCCAAACGACAATCAACACACATGTTCCCAGCTTTTCGCTGCACTTCCATCACACATGAGTAAAGAATAAAGGCTCATTTTGTTATTTTACCATTCTGGTTACTTTTTCTTTCTAGTCAGAGTCGGTCAGGAGCCCGGAGTCGGAGTCAGAGTCGGTCAGGAGCCCGGAGTCGGAGTAGGAGTCGGAACAGCGCTGCTACGACTCCGAAACCCTTGGCGCTGAGAAAAGCACATGGAATCGCGGTTTTATGCATTCCTTGCAAACTCTAACAAATCACTTTCGCATTGTTGATCTTGCGTGACGTCATCGGAGTTTTTCGTCAATAACTCCGGATCAAATTGAGTTAGCGAGTAGAGAAAGTCACCTAGTGGACTCAGCGAGACCTGCCAAATAGAATGATGTGCGACATGACCGACGACAGGACCTTTGACCAGCTTCGTGACCTGAGTGGCACCGACCTGACCTTGACCAGAGGTCAAAACGGTGGTGTTGGCCAACGCAGGTCAGCAGAGTGCATGTAGACACCAACAAGATGGTGAGTACTGTGTAGTGTAGGTACTGGTGCTGACCGTTCGAGGTGGTTACGACGCAGTACTGTGTACTGACCGTTGGAGGTGGGTACGATGGAGTGCTGTGTACTGACCGTTGGAGGTGGGTACGATGGAGGTCGGCAGCCCGCTGGTGAGAGCGCCTGGCGTCAGCGGGGCGATGGCCGGCATGGGGCTGATGTAGCTGCCCTGGGCCGCCACCAGCGCCGCCGGAGGCTGCCGGCAGCACACAGAGCGTCACCATACCGACGTGACCAGGGCTCACACCAGCCTCCCTGGCACCTCACTACCTAACATCCTAAGGTAAGTACACCAATGGTCAGCATGGTAAGTACTAAGTAGTAAGTACAGCCCTCAGCAGACTGCGTGGTAGGTATTCTTTTTTGGACAAAACCGATAATAACTCAAAGGTTACTTTATCAGTCAGTCGGACCTCACTGCAAATAAATGCGCCATGCTCCACTCCCTCGATTGGGTGTATCACTAAGCAAATTATACGCCTTGTGTGGCAATAAAATGTAAAAAGTTTTTTTTTTATAGAAATTTTGTCCGAATGGATGAATGGGTGGCTATGGGCCCGGGTGCCCCGCTAAGCAGTGCTTGTTGCGAATGACACCACGGACCCACCACCCCGCCTTGCCCGCGCCCGGTTCACCGGTGATAATTTGGATCGAAAGTTTAACGTGCCGCAGGTAGATGGCGGCACGGTCCTCCCAGGTCTTGCGTGGCCCTGTCTCGCCAGTTGCCAGCTGGCTCAATATAGTAACGCGGGTCAAACGGCGTGGAGCTTCACGGCTGCGAACTCGCTGCCACCGAGTTAGGAGACGGACGCCTTATCCACTAGGCCACGGGGAGGACAAATATTTTGACATTTTAGGTCAATATTTTGACACAAGGTCAACCTTTGACCTTGATCTCTTGAGGTCAACACATATATGTTTCGATGCGGACTGACGAGAGAATTACGATGCTACTTTTAGTTTTGACCTAGCTTGATTACTTGAAAAGGTATTCATAAAAAAACTGTGATCGCATCTAGTGCCGCTATTTTGACTATTTTCGACCCCTGTGACCGCTGAGTCAACCTCCGAAATGCGTCAAATGCGTCGTAGGACACACGTCATTGCTGAATGTGAAGCTGACTCGCCTATAACAACAAAATCCCGGCCTCAAACTAACACCGGCCAAATTGCCCCACACCCCCGGCCAAATAACCCTGCTAGTGGGGCAATTTGGCTGCCTTGCAGAAATGCAGACCTTTGTAATACGCCACAATTACAATATAAGTAATTAATTTATCATTTCAAGTTCACTGTCCATTAAAGTAAGATGTATGCGACATCTGCCAGCGTTGAGAAAATGCAGAAATGTGTCGTCAATTTTAAGTTACATCGTTTTCTAAAAAAAGCGGCCAAATTACCCCAACCTCCCCTACTGAAAAATTGATAACTTGGCAATGATTAAAGATATGAAGGTAAAACTTGCTAGAGTAAGTCATAAGCATGTGTTTTATCACATATATTCCGTTTTTTTTTCGAAAAGTCAAAAAGTTTTTGAAAAAAATATGAACATATAAATTTTGAATCCAAATTTTCAAAATTTTGCAAATCTGAGATAGCAGTTTGATAGCACAGTCTATTCTGAGTCCTCACATGCAAATAAATTGGATCTAGCTTAAAAACTGAGCTATTGGGAGCGATTGCAGTGGTTCAATGTCTTGCGTCGAAATCGCCCGAACATGACGTCACTCTGACGTCATTTCCGGACGACCTATGGTAGCTACAAAGTTCATATTTTGAGACAAGATGCCAAATGTATGCAGCCAAAGGGACGGAAAGTTTGGCGTCGATATCTCAAGCGGTTTGGAAGTTGTTGCAGAAAAACGGGAGGGGGCTATGAATAGCCCCCCCCCCAGTGGGGCGCGGGTTAGGGACCGTTTAACAGGGTGCCGTGCACATGTCAGTTTGGGTTCAGCCTGCACGTTAGCACGTCCAGAGGTCTTTTCACATCTCGAGAGTGACAGGGCAGATTGTGCTCAAATTTGGTACACTTCTACAGAGGTCAAAAAACTTCCTACTCGCTTACATTGTAGGCGACAGAAGCTGACAGGCACCAAAGACATTTGGTGACAACATCTTCACCGGGCTCCACCAGCGACATAGTGCTCCGGGGGCCGGATCACTGGGAGTATTTCCACATGGTTTGCTTATAGTGATCAATTACCAGCATATAGGGAGAGATGGGTAAGCCAGACCCCAACGCAGACAATGAGTCGCTGAAAGCGCAACGCACCAAAGACCGAAGCAAAACTACAAAATTGTCTAACGATCTTTAGCGCCTCTACACTCAGGTAGGTCAACGCAATCAGAGTCTAGACAGACACGAGTAAGACTACACGATAGAACTCGCTAAAGGCCATCTTTCGCACATGGACGAGCTGAACTCGCAGCTGAGTGAGCTGGGGTTAGAGGATGAATCCCCTCACTACGCGGAGCTTCACAGAGCAGTCGGCCTGGGTAAGCGTCTTCTCGCAGACGCAAGTAAGAGGAACGAGGCCGCACCTGTTGTGACACAGGTCGTAACTCCTCAGAACCATTTCAAACTTAACTTCACGCTGCCAAAGTTCAATGGAGAGCTCCTGGGTTTTGGGAACTGCATGAAGCGTCAGTACACCAAAACATTGCCTACTCTCCAGTGCAGAAGCTGCACTACCTGAGACAGCATGTCGAATTGTCGATGGAGCTACAGCGCGGTCAATTCAGGGCTTGCAGTTGACAGCGGACAACTATGAGATCGCTGTTCAAACACTAAAGGAGAGGTTCGGAAAGGACAGCCTGAGGAAGGACACCATCATCGCCAAGCTACTCAGCCTGCCGACGGTGACAAGCACCGACAATCTGAAGTCACTGAGACGTCTGGTGGATGATGTGACGGCCGGAGTCGCTTCTTTGAAGACCCTCAAAGCCGACCACACGGGTGATGTTCTTCCGTCCGTCCTGAAAGGGAAGATTCCACCGCCCTGGCGTCTTCAGTGGGCGAGGCAGCGGGGACAGATCATGGGCTAAAGGCCTGGCTACACTATGCGTTTTCTGCGTGCGTTTTTGCAGGTTTGCGTGTTTTGCGTAATATCGTTCTAGGAAAAAAGTTATAAACAATATAATTTTTACTTTGGTTATATACAAAAGCTAATATAACTCTTATGTAACTAAAATTTAAGGTGAAAAACATCACAAAAACGTAATATCGTTCTTTTTTTCTAGAACGATATCACGCAAAACACGCAAACACGCAAAAAACGCACGAAGAAAACGCATAGTGTAGCCAGGCCTTAAGAACAAGGAGAGTTCGCACAATTTCTCGCATTTCTGCAGAAGGAAGTGGGGCATCTCGAAGAGGCCGCTCAAGTACCATGCAGCAAGGCTACTGATCACAGCTGTCCAACGGTACAGAAAGCGACAACAAGCGTGCTCAACACCCAGCAAGTTCAAGCAGAGCCAGCTCAAAAACCGTGCCCTGTGTGCAAGGGATCCCATCGCCTCGACAAGTGTTCGCGGTACATAGAGATGGCCGTTGAGGACCGCTGGACGACAGTGAAACGGGTGGGAGCCTGCTTCCGCTGTCTCGGACGTCACATCATCAAGGACTGTAGGAGTGGCAATTGCAGGCATTGTCAGGGCTCCCACCATACCTCTATGCATCGTCCCCAAGCCTCAACGCCAGACAATGCATCTGCTCCTCTCACCAGCTCTGTTCCCTATAGTCCTGCTTCCTGCTGTACTGCCTCCCACGCCGGTACCTGTAACAACCACCACGCATCTACCGGTCTCTCAAAACCAACGGCCAGAACCTTCTACTTCCAGCCACGGCTGTTGTGCCCGGTACTGTTGCGCTTTCTCGGACACTCTGTACTCTTTTTTCACCTTTATTCCTCAGGCGACAGCAACACACACGAGGCCAAAACGAGAGAAATCAATCATGGCGTCTTTACCGCGTCGCGCGGCTTGTCGCACCCGCGCCACTTTAGCTACCAATATCCATTGGCACGACGCAACTAAAATCAACACACAACAATGGCCAACACTCACATCCCAGCATGCGTTACGCAGCTCAGCGTACTAAATCACAGTGCTACATTCAAACTGTGCTGGTGGTGGGGAGAGGGTCACGTGGGCCCATGATGCTAAAAGCCGTTCTGGATGGTGGGTCCGACGCTTCTTACATCAGGAAAACCATCGCCGAGGAAATGGGACTGGAAGTCATCGGCTCCGACACCTTTGCTTGCGTCTGCTTCCAGGAGCGAGCGGAGGAGCCACGGTCATACGATCGCGTCGCAGTCGACCTACAAATCGACATGGAGGTGAAGCGAGGAACTTCGAGCTGTGGTGCTGCGACCGCCTGTGCGCACCTCTACCACCGGCAGAGCTACCCGAGGGATTGGATGAGAACATCGGTTGGCCGACGACTTCGGCGGTGACCAGGTGGTGGACATTCTGATAAGGACAGACCAGTACTACGTGGTTGTGCTGTGGAATTGCGTCGTTCTTGACCAATCACTGAGAACACTGGATACGATCTTTGGCTACGTGATCCATGGGAAGGGCACTGCAACAGGGCAGCCCACTCGACATGTATACCACCGTCAACAAGTGGAACAGATGTGGGACCTCGATCCCAAGGGTGAAGCTCCGGACCTTGAGGCCCAAAAACTCCAACGAGAACCTGAGAGAAACTCGCAGGAAGAGCGCTACGGACCGGGACTAGAAGCTGAGGTTCCGAGATCCGTCCATCTTCTTGGTGAAGACGTGGCCTTCCAAGTCTTCTGCGACGCAGCCAGCAAGACCTGTTGTGCCGTCGTGCATCCTGCCCACGGTGGGAAGCCTCAACTAGTGGCGACAGAAGCCAGACTGCCCCCTCTGACACCGGCTAGCAGTCAAAATCAGAGAATCGAGAAATCAGAAGATCCGGCAAAGGAGCTGAAGAACACCAGCCCCAGGGGGCGTCGAAGTCTAGTTCCTACCAACCTGGCACTCCCATGCCTACGTCACCACGAGGACGCCCGAGGGCATTTACATGTTGAAGATAGGGAAATTGCCATAGTTTAGAGCCGCCTGAAGGGCAACCTTGAGATAGATGGTAATGTAAATGTGTGCTAATATGATCATCAACATGTTATTTATCCAAATCCAGGGCCAATTAATCGATAACCTGTCACGTTT